ATTGACTTCCTTTTAAAACCAATCGTAAAGTAAGTTCGCTTTTTAATGACTTTTGGCAAACTTTTTTAAAATGTTTTTTTGGAGTAGCCTGGCTCAGAACCCAGAGGTCCGAGGTTCGACGCCAGCTCTACCCCAACAAGTGAAATTGGTACGGAAGGAGGCGTGAACTTCCTGTTAAATGCTCTCCCGCGGTGCTCTATGATAAGACCGTAAGGACTTCTGGGAGCACCTAAATACATACAAAAGAAAAAAATAAAACACATGTATTTAAATTACCTTTAGATGATCAGTTAATAATTTTAAAAATATTTTTAATTTTTTGTTTAATTATTTTAACCTTTAATGACTAATATGAAAAAGTTTGAAATACGTTTCTTATTATAAGTCTATAATAGAAATACTATTAAAGCTTTTTTTAAATGTGTGTGTAATTAAGGTGCATTGTAACATTCAACACTAACCAGAATGCACGGTAAGCCCATAATAGGACCAAACCTTCGTTTACTATAAAGCAATAACTTATTATTAAAGTTTTATTAACGTATCAAAGTCATAGATTACAGTACGACCATGTAAAACATAAACAAAGCACACTCGCACCTAATGAACACAAGTTAAAAATAAAAATCTATAAATTAAGTTGTAAAAGCACAAAAATCAGCACCGTTTATTTGCAGTAAAAGTGTAGTGGCCTCATAAGCAAGAAGATCCGAGTTCGATTCCCATCACGTCTCTAGTAGTACCGGGCTAAACTTGTTTCTCCACACAGCGGCCTTGTTCTTCAAGGTTCGTGTTTTGATAACTAACTCTTGAATGTAATCTCTACATTCAAGAGTTGGTTAATTTGAACATCCTTTTATTTTAGAATAGCTGAACAATGATTTGTTCTGAACTTGAGGAAAAACCAAGTGAGATCCATTCCAGTATTTTGCAGGATGCAGAATACTGGGATAGGTCTCACTTTGTTCCAAGATATTCTTCTAACTAAAAACTTTATCAAATCGGCTTTCCGCTTGGTTCCTGAGTTCTAGGCAAACTTCACAACTTTTAATTAATGCACCCCAATATTACATATTTTTTCAAAATATCCAATATTGGGAAAAGGTATATGGTAGCCCTTCCTTGACTCCCAACAATTATTCCAGCTTGTACCTTATGAGCACATTTTTTTTTGTTTTGTTCTATGATGTTGCTAAGTCAGGTTTTTCTGTTGATAGCAAAACATTAACTTGGTTTTGGAGCATGTGGTCGGGGGTTTAAGTAAAACTTTGAACTTTTATTATAACTGGGTTAGTCATACAAGTACTTATCAGTACTACGGTACTGGGGTTGAGAAAAATATACGAGACAGATTATAGACAGCTTTAAAAATTAACTTTAAAAAAATATATTTATATATTATATATATAGTTTGTTTTTGTAATACTTTATCCAAGAAGTAATATTTTTCGAGAAGAATTTTCGAAAATCATATCAAAATTTTCTTGAATGTGTTTACAATCCTGCAGAGCTAAATATTATTTCAGATAAGCTGTAACACATAAATGCTTTCTGAAAAGGTTTGCGCTAATTTTAAACCAATGATATATTATAACTAGATATCTAACTTCATTACGCCGCTTTTTGCCCTGGCAAATTAAATTTGTAAACAAATATTTTTAACATTTCTTTTCTTAAATGAAGTAAATCTATTTTAAATCTAAATACTATCGACGTAAAAGTCTTAAGCGGAAATTATAATACTTGTAAAATAATAATTTATGATTCCTTAATTTATTTTCGATTAAAAAGTGATTAAAGTTTTGAATAGAAAAGTCTTACTATTTTGAAGCATTTTTATGAATTAAAATACTTTTTAATAAAAAAAAGCTCATAAAAAAACTTTTGAAAATATTTTATAATTGTTAAAATGTGTTTTTGAATTATCTCTAATTTATTGGAAACTTTTGAGGCGCATTTTTAACTTTTATTCTACACTTCGGCTTCAGCTTTTGCCCTTTTTATAAATGGCGGACTTTTGTTATATACAAAAAAAAGCGGCTTCACTTTTTGTCAAATAAAACCTTGCAAGTTAGACATCTAGTTATATAATATATCATTGTTTTAAACATTTAATACACCCGTTTCTTGTTATTTAATTCTTTAGTTTTCTTTTTTTTATAATATATTTCGCTGTTTATATAAAAAGAAAATAATAAAATTACAATGAAACTTTTACATTACACAAAGAATATATATATAAAGCAGACAGGGGCTCAAAGAAGATAAAGATGACTGATGTCACCACAATCTTTTCATAGAGCTCCCTTACAATATCATTTAAAGCCCACTTAGCTTTAGAAAAATTTACAACAATTATTTTATCTATTAAATACTACGTGAAGAGTAAAGAAAAACTCATATATACATATATACACATTTATACATATACCCATAAAAACACACACATATACAAACATTCTTACATATATGTCAGAAATTTAGGAGATGCAGTTTTATTTGTCGTTTAAAAGAGAAAGTGCTTTTCAAATTTTTTATATTGTTATTTTTTAATTGATTCCATAATGACGGGCCTTCGCTAATAATTAAGAATTTCGACACTTGCGATTTTACTATGCTCAAGTGATAGTTATGGTTGTTATTTGACCGAAGATTGTATTTTTGTGAAAATGCTGATTTAAAAATATCAGAAAACACTTTTGGCAGCAAGTTATTCTTATGTTTATACATAAATATTAATATTTGAAGCGAATTAAGTTTTGATATATTTAAAACATTCATGCATTTCATTACAGGGGAAGGGTTTTCTGATCTCTTTAAATAGTTAACTGCTTTACATGCGTGGTTTTGTAGGCTCTGTAATCTTAATAACTTAGTTTTGTGTGTGTTAGCCCAAATAATAAAAGCATAGGAGAGATGACAATGAATAAGACTGAAGTAAAGCATTTTGCGTGATTTATAATCAAGAAAGGCCCTAGATTTATGTAATACACATATAGCAGAAGATATTTTTACTTCAATGAGACTAATATGTTTTTTCCATGATAAGTTCTCATCAAATATTACTCCCAAAAACTTTGAATGATTTACTCGATTTATTTCAATTTTATTGATTGACAGTTTTGGCAACTTTAATGGAAGATGAGTTGATTGTCTTATTTTATGGAAGAGAGTATAACTTGTTTTTTCACAATTTAATAATAACTTATTAGCTATAAACCATTGATTAAAGCTTTCTAGTTCAGTGTTCATTGTTTCGAACTTAAAACTTAACTTTACTTAAAACGAACTGTGTTGATCTGATGATGTTAGTCTTTTTTTTTTTTTTTTCAATTTTTATAATAAAAAGCTAAGTTTTGATTTTTTTTAAGGGTATAATCTCTTAGACCATACAAAGTTTGAACCTCTCTCAATTTATCTCCTAATAATAATATCTCCTTGAAAGTTGCTAAAGTATTGGAATTATATATAAAGTTTGACATATTTTAAATAAACAGCAATTAAAACAACTATATTATTCGTTTATCCACTGCCATTTAAGTTATGCAAATATTGTATGGGGAAGCGCGCACTAAACTAAACTTAAATCTCTTTATCAGCATCAGAAACACGCAGCTTGCTTAATTAATTTTGTACATCGTTTTTCAAATTCAAAACCACTTCTGAAAGAAATGAAAGCCTTAAATGTATACGAACTAAATGTTAATATTATTTTATGTTTCATGTTTAAATGTAAAAATCATTTATCTCTTGATGTAAATCCCATAAACAAATATAATTTTCGCAATGGAAAAAATCTACAAGAACCTTTCTGCCAAACTAAGTTTGAGCAACTAATTATTTCTTATCGCGGTCTTTATTTATGGAATGAAATAGTTTTGCCAAATTTTGATTTGTCATTGAAATGGACTTTAAATTCTTTCAAACGAAAATTAAAAGAAGTTATCTTTTCAGCAAAAAATATTTTTTCTTGTTTTTAGTTCATTTGTTTCATACAATTTATCCAGTATATCTATATTTTAAATGCACAGTTATATATAGTTTATGTTGATTCATTTTTAATGGTTAATTTGATTTTATTGTTATTATTATTATAATTGATATTATAAAGGGCTTCATGATAAGATCGTATGATTTTCTGGAAGTCCTGCCGATTATATTTGTAATTTGTAAGCTATTCTTTAATTGTAGTTTCTTTTATTAAAGGGAAATAAATATAGAAAAAAAAAAAAAATTTGATGGGACTACAAGGCCATAACTTTTTAACATAATTTTTAAAATTTATAAAAAAATCTCTTGCAAGAGATTGTTTTATTAATTTTAAAAATTATTGATAAATATAAATTTAGTTGAGAATAGTAAAAAATATTTTGTCAGCTTGTTGCTCTCACGTTTGGGGCAGGTGTCGCCAAATATATATATATATATATATATATATATATATATATATATATATATATATATATATATATATATATATATATATATATATATATATATATATATATATATATATATATATATATATATATATATATATATATATATAAATATATATATAAATATATATATATATATATATATATATATATATACATATATATATATATATATATATATATATAAATATATATATAAATATATATATATATATATATATATACATATATATATATATATATATATATATATATATATATATATATATATATAATATATATATATATATATATATATATATATATATATATATATATATATATATATATATATATATATATATATATATATATATATATATATATATATATATATATATATATATATATATATATATATATAGGCCCGCCCAGAGCTTTTGTGATGCCCGGGTCCAAATGTTTAATGGATGCCCTATCATACTTCAGGTCTTAAAATAGCAAATAATTTAATATAGTTTACTTTCATAAAAACCTAAAAACACATTTAATTTTGGTTTGCAAGAACAAACTATGATAAAATCAATTCTTAATTGACAAACACATCTTCCGGGCCTTCTTAGCAGCAAAATTTGAAATAACTTCTTCATAATTAACGTTAATGGCTAAATCTGATTCGATTGAAAGGATCATCAAGTAGCACAATCGCTCCTGGCCCATTGTGGAACGAAGATAATCTTTGATGATAGCTAACTTGCTGAAAGATCTTTTTCCTTCAGATGTTGAAACGGGCAATGTTAGAAAGATTCTAAGAGAAACACACACTTGCGGAAATATTGAATGCAGCCCCTTTGCATAAACTTCATTTAGAAGTTCGACAGGCTTTTCGCTGGCTAGAATATTTCTTCTTACGGAAAAAAAATGCCGAACTTCATCAGAAAATTCGTTTTTACATAAGTCTTCTGGGTAAAGTTTAGCCAGATTCTCAGCTTTTAAACCTAGTTCTTGGTCTGTTTGAGATTTCTGTAAAGACCAAAGGAAGGAAAACTTGCTACATTCCTCTTCTATTACTTTAAATCTTGATCTCATTTGACTAGTCAGATTGTCGAGTGCAACATTGAAGATATTACAATCAAAGTTTTTTGATGCTTCTTCATGGTTGTTACCATCAGTTTTGAAAAAAGATCATCTGAGATGATCTTTTTTCGCGTTCTCTTCACAGTAAACATTATTTTATCAAATTTCAAGTTCTTTGCAACTTCTGTTGCCTCTATCAAAATCAGGTCCCAAGACAGACGGATTCGATCCAGATCCATCAAAAGGCCATTTAGAATCTTTACTTCATCATCGAGAGTGAGTTAAAAACTTAATAATACTTTGGTGTTATTAATTGCAGAGAAAAAGTCAGTACTTACAATTAAAATATCCACTGAAGATAAGTTTCTTGTCAAAATATAGTCGGAACAAAATGCAGGCGAGTCAAAAACATACATATGCACAAAAGTATCCACAGGGACGCAAGGTTTAAGCTAAAATAAGCTAAACTATCAGAAGTCAGGCTTTTACAAACGTTAAATAAGAAAATTTTTTTTTAACGCTTTTTATTCTATCATGCGAACAAAAGGCCAATGAAAACGCGGGCGTTCAAATGGATAATGAAAACCTTGTAAAGTAATAATTATCCTATTTTAAAGGAGAAAGAAATTAATACACAAAAATTGCTTAATCTTTAAATACGTTATCAGCTAAATTTTTTATCATTTCAATAATTTTTTTTTTAAGGCTTGTGATGCCGCATAGACTGTGATGCCCGGGGCAAACTACTTCAATTGCCCCCCCTCCCTCTTGGCGGCCCTGTATATATATATTCTTGTTATTAAGGTGATCCAAAAAACCTAACAAACTCGTTACAGCAAAACAAGATTTAATTCAGGAGTCCACGCAGTTCACGCATTATATCGGTGATGCAAATATGGCAAGAAACCTCATAAACCTATTGATTCTAAAGCAAGAGCTCTTATCAATGCGCCACTGCTGATCGTTTTTATCTGTAAGACACTACTTCATATTATCTTTACATAAAACCAAAACATTTAAAACTTAATTATTCATAAAAAAAAAAAGAGAAGAAACTGCTCTAGCGCTGTTGGTTTACTGTTGTCTACTACATTATTCATCAGCAGTAAACTTTTATATCTTGCTCTTTCTCTTTTCATTTATTTTTTTACCCTTTTATGTGTCGTAATTATGGTTTCTATTTTTAGTTTTTTTTATTCTTTTAAATTTAAAACTTTTTTAAAAAGCTTTTAACATTGAAGTTGTCAGGATTTAAGTGCTAGTACCAATATTTTAAAATGCTTATGCGATATTAACTTTTTAAAAGAAAACCGTCTCGGTACAAAATCCAAATTTTAAATCCAAATTTTTTATTATAAAGGACTCTGCACGTTGTTTTTAACGAACTTTAACCAACGCGTAGCTTATAACAAATCTTTTTCTGTTAATTCAGCATTTTCGTTAATGATGTTTGTCAATTATGACTCAATAAAAAATTTAATGGCTTATAATTTCGATGCTAAATTTAAACCTACGCTGATAAACACCTCATTAAATTTAATAAATTTATATAAATTTAGCATTTATAGATTCATTTGATATGTCTTTAATTTGTAATTTAGTTTTTTTGAAAGTCCATTTGTTTTTATCCAAACATAACTTTAGTAAAATTCCAAGTTTTTTAAGTATTGCCTTCAGAGCCGTAGTTTTCGCTGGTCGCCCAGCATTTCTAGAAAATTGGCCTCAAGAAAAAACGTGAAGAAATTCAACAACCGTTTTTTCTCTATTGCTTTTTTATTTGATTTTAGCAGAACATCATAAAAGTGCAATCGCAATCACAATCGCAATCGCAAAGTATGAAAAATCAAAGTAATGATGTTTAAAACACTTATCGACAACACATCTGTAAAACGATCAATTAGACTGTACCTAATAGCGTACCGTTATGGTGACGTCAAATTGTTTGTTTGTCCGAATATCAATCCCACAACTACTAGCGTTTTTTAAGAAATTCTTTTGTTTCTGTGCAATGTTTGTCCGAATATCGATCCCAAAGTGCCTTACGTTTCTGAAAAAAATCCATTTTTAGACCCATAACGGTACGCTATTTAAAACTAGTTTTAAGGTTGTATAGTTCTTTTGGAGAATTTAAATGTTCTTCATGACTAAATCCGTAAGAACCTTGATAAAATTTTCACAGATATTGAGTGATAAACCCTATCTATGTTATCACAGATAGATTGTTCTGAAACAAGTTTAAGCGTACATAAATAATTTGCGTTGTGTTTTTAACAAATCTGTTGATTTTTGCCGCAAAGCGGTAGATTATTGTAAATCCAAGGAGATTTTTTCCAGTAACATTTTTCAATAACATCAATCAATCAATTACTTGTTAGTTTAAAACGTGATTGTAGAAAATGGAGTATAACCCTCTTTTAGTAGGCTTATTCAAACTGTTTAAAAAACAGACAGTAGATTATGGCACGCCATTGCGGCTGACAAAAACTTGAAAAGGTTCGGTTATGTTCTGCTGACTGTTCATGTTCAGAGAGAGCTGTTGGGCTTGGTTAAAAGAAAAAATATGGTAGGACTAGCAGAAGTTTACTTCTTATCAGTAAACTTTGAACAGTTTTAGTTGAGACTGGTAAACTAATCATATACCAGTTATGCGAAGCTCTGGTGACTAGAGCGTCAACCGATTTGATATAGGTAGACAATTGAGGCAAGCGAGAACAAGCGTTAAGAGTATCAAGAAGTCCTCATTTACCTTTAAGTTTAAAAGAAATTAGAAATAAAAAAAATGTATAGAAATTTATTAAGCTCTTCAGTGTTTTTAGCCTGTATACCACCAGGTTTTCTTATTCCCCAGTCAGCCATGACTATTAGTTCTAACTCTTAACTTGTAAATTAATGTTCCAAAATAATAAAAGCTCCACCGCTAAAATAAATTAAAAACTGAATAATGAAGCGTCACACGTAACATTGTAAAAACCTTGGGAAAAATAATAATGGATGTAGAAACAGCTCCTCATCCATTATTGCCTCTTTCATCAATATCTTAAGATATCTTAAAAAAGGACGAGATTGTTGACATATATACTTATCATTATTTTGCGACTTTCGACAACCTTTGTTCATTCAATGATATTCTAAAGGTTCTGTTTTTATTCCAACTTTAAAAATTTTTTTTTCGTCGATGTGACCTCTCTGTTGCCATGGCCTCCTGGAAATTGTGGGTAAAGGCGATTGAAGCCTTAATATTCAAATCAATTATAAAGACTTCTTTGAACGTTTGAAATTCAATTCAAAGAGATGTTTATATTTTGTATGTTTTAATTCATTTTCGTAAGTACTCTGCAATCAGTAAGTTAACAACGGCCAGTTGCCAAATGTGAATGTAAATGATCCGAAAAACATATAGCTTAAATTAAAAAATACCAGTTCATTTTTAGTTCAACATGGTCCAGAACATGTAAAGTTACAAATGACTGCTGCTTTAAAAACGGTAACTGTTTTAAAAATTCCTGGAAATTTAGAAATGAGGATATTGGCAAGAAAGAGAGGAAATGGTTGTTATATTGCAAAAATAAAGATGTAGTATTTTTTTTTTGCCTCTTATTTGTAACTGGGGCACATAATATTCCATTTTTTCAGTCCTATGGATTTGTGGAATGGAAATCTAAACTCAAAATCACAAAAATTCGTGGCAACACTAAAATTTTTGTGAACTTTTTAGTTTGCAAACTAAAAGGCATTAAGCCATTACACCTTAATATGTTCTCTGACGTTTAAAATACACGCCTGAAACTATAAAGATAATTATTAGTGTAAAATATAAAAGGAATTTAATTAAACAAGTTAAAAAGTAGTTTTAAAAAAGAAATTAACAATTATTTAAAAATTTCGACTAAAAAAATTTATACTAGAATTAAAAAACAATAAAGATAAACCTCAACTGTAAATTAGAATCAAAAATAACGCTTATGTAATTGAAACAGCGCTTTTTAAAATCGTAAAAAATAAAATTTCTGCAATGAGAGCATAAACTTATAAAAAATGCATATAAAAGGAAAAGAAACGATTCTTAGATTTTTTTTCAAAAAGACAAAACAATTCTAAAATTCTATTTTGTTTTTTTCATTTTGGATTCAAGAGTTTTTTTAAAAAGTTACTCTTAAAAACATTTTTTTAAGAGGCTTACTCTCGAAAACACTTTCTTTGAAGGTTACTCTCAAAAACACGTTTTTTGAAAGTTAATCTAACAAACACTTAAAATTTGTTAAACTTGTTTAAACTTGAATCACTCACTTTTTTTTGGTCATTTTGCAAACCTTTAAAGAATATGTTTACTTTAAAAGTCTTTACTTTAGAGTTAGAAATTTATTAGTACTATTTTTTTACAATTTTTTTTAAAAAAACGTTAAAACTTTAAAGAACTTTGAGTTTAGAGCAGAGTTGTCAGTCCTTGGCCTTGGCCTTGGCCTCGGTCTTGTCTGAAGGCCAAAAATAAAAGCCTTGTTCTTGGTCTTGGCCTTGAAACTGTTGGCCTAAGCCTTGAAAATTTTGGCCTTTGCTTTGATTATTTTGGCCTTGGCCTTTAACAAAAATACATAAAATTAAAGAACTAAAAGTTTTCATTCATTGTTTTTATATATTTTTCGTTTTCGGATTTCATATATATATCTACAAGTATATTTTCTGATAGACTTAGAGTTCTGCGCATAACCGTGGTCTATTTATACAGCATGTGGTTTTATTGTCACAGCACTTGCTACTTACAGTTTTGTTAATAACTGGCTTTAACGTAAGGCAAAAATTTAAGTCTTTGGTCATGAAAATGTTTAGGTAGGCCTTGGCCTTGAAACTCTTATTCTTGGCCTTAACCTTAAAACTCTTGTCCTTAGCCTTGTAACATATGGCCTTGACCTTGTTAACAACACTGGTTCAGAGTTTAATATGCGATAATGGAAAGTTAAACATGTGTGCTAGTAGTTGAACAGTGTCAAAAATACTCGACGTATTTACTTTAACAT